GAACCGCTGAACTGCAGATCACAGTCAGCTGAAGTGGCCTGCAGTACTGCACCCTAACCACTGCGCCACCTCGGCTCTGTAAAAGTTAAAAGTTTTAAGACCCTGCCCCCACACCCACAAGTCCATCACGTGGTCCAATCATCCACTGCCACGAAGGAAGATTCCTCTCATATCTCTCCTGCAGGGACAAAAGTGACCTTGACTTTCAGAGAAGAATGTTGTTATGGCTACACATCACCCATTCTCTGTATAATCCCCCCTCCCATTCTCCCACAGTAGAAAGTGCGGCAGGCATGAAATCCCAAAAAGTAAAAGATGGCTTCCAGGTCTGGCAAACACAAATGTTTGGTCGTAAGTTGAGGACTACCTGTATTTCTAGGATATAATTACCTTGCACCTATTTCCGGCCCGGCGGTTGAAATTCTAAGTCATGACAATGTCGAAATGGCTCCCTTGGCTTGCAAAGGTGGACTTTTTGCAACAAAAATAAATAAGTTAACAGCTACTCCTCAGCCCTGCAACCACAGCTGAGCCCGGAATGTACGTTGCAAAGTGAGAAATCTGTGAAGCCACTTTTTGGCCCATTCTACAACTTTCCTTGCCCCTTTTGTTAAGTGAATCACTGCAGTTGTTAAAATTAGTCACACGGCCGTTAAGTGAATCCAACTCCCCCCATTGAGTTTGCTTGTCAGGTGGTCGCAAAAGTGGGGTCACATCACCCCGGGATGCTGCAACCGTCATAAATGTGAGCCGGTTTGCCAAGTGTCTGAATATAAATCACGTGACCACAGGGACGCTACGATGGTCGTTAAGTGTGAAAGACGGTCCTGAGTCACTTTGAATGGTCACTAAATGAACTGTTGTAAGTCGAGGATTACCTGTATTTTTAAAAAAAATGTATCAGGACTGAGATAAATATGAGGCATAAATCTCTGAAAGCCAAAAAAAAAAAAGTCTTTGGAAATATTCCCACATATATATTTCATATATAACCAATTTCCAGTTCTTTCAAGAAAGTGTGGATGGATGTGATTTTTCAAGAAAGCGTTGATGGATGTGATTTATGCTTCCAACACAGTATACACAGCAACGTATTAGAATTAATATTCTTAATATTCTTCAGTAAATGAATACGATAAAGAATATCCCGACATCATCCAAAAATGCAGAGCTGGGCAGAAAGGTTCCACCACAAAACCNTCTGCTGCTGCCTGCAGGCCACAACAGGTGCCTTGAATGTTTTATAAAGGGCTGCGGGCTCAAATCTGGGCCCGAGCAGCCATCTTTGTTGTTTCAATGTACCCCCTCTCTGCAGGGAACCCTGCAACCATCCTACCAAATTGAATAAAGTGATTTTCTTGCAACCGAATCTTGATTGAGCCAAGCCAGAGGCATTAAAAGTCTCTCCCAATTGTTAAATATCTTCTTATTTATAGAAGAAAGAAATCAGTCTAAACCTGCGGCCCTGGGCTTTCCTTGTGGCCTCTTTTCCAACCTGACCCTGCCTATCTTCTGAGCTCATGAGACCGGAAATTTACATCATCCTGTTGAATGGTTTGTTTGGACGCATGCGAAAGATCTGGTTGCATAGGCAAGCATCTCTCAAGGGTGGTTGACTTAGCATTTTGGCCCATTGCAGGGGGGTTGGGCTAGATGATCCTTGGGTGCCCCTCCCAAGTTCACTTCGGATCACAAGTGAGCCCCAAGCTTCCGTTGCTAAGCAAAGCAGTTAAGTGAATTGCACCCCACTTTACAACAGGGTTTTTTGGTCACGGTGACTAAGCAATCCGCTGCGGTTGTTAAGTGAATCATGAAGTTGTTAAGCGAGTCCGACTTCCACCATTGACTGGGAAGGTCATCAATGGGGGTTGCATGACCCCAGGGCGCTGCACGTCCATGCCAGTTGCCAAATACCCAAATTTTGATCACGTGACCATGGAGATGCTGCAAAGGTCATAAGTGTGAAAAACGGTCATAAGTCACTTTTTTCAGTGCTGTTATTTTGAACCGTCACTAAACAGATGGCTGTAAGTCAAGGACCACCGGTATACATATGGTCTAGATGATCCTTGGGGGGCGGTTTCTCTTCTAACTTCATAGTCCTCAACTTACGACAGTTCATTCAGTGACCAAAGTTACAACGCCACTGAAAAAGTGATTTTTATGGCCGTTTTTCACACTTACAACCGTTGCTGCATTCCCATCGTCACACGATCCAAATTTAGGCATTTGGCAACTGGTTCATACTTGTGACCGTGGCTGTGCCCCGGGGTCAGGTGATCCCCTTTTGCGACCTGACGGGGAAGCCAGATTCACTTAACAACTGAGTTACTAACTTTAAACAACTGCAGTGATTCACTTAACAACTGTGGCAAGAAAGGTGATAAAATGGGGCAAAACTCAGTGAAACGTCTCGCTTAACAACAGTATCAGGGCTCNGTGTCCGTGTCTTTTCTCAACATTGGCCTCATGAGGCGAACCACGGGTACTTCACACAGTTGAGCCCCGAAATTTTGGTTTGCTAAGCAAGAGATGTGGGGGTTTTTTGCTCCATTTTGCGACCTTTCTTGCCACGGAGTCACACAGTTGCTAAGCGAATCAGGCTTCTCCTTCGACTTCGCTCCACTGAAGTTGCAAAAGGGGATTACAAGGACCCCAGGACGCTACACCGTCATGAATATGAGCCAGATATACCGTATTTTTCAGAGTATAAGACGCATCTTTTTCCCTCAGAAAAGAGGCTGAAAATCTGGGTGCGTCTTATATACTGAATACAGCATTTTTTTGCCTCCTGGAACCCCAACCCTTCACCAAAATGGCCGTGCAGAGGCTCTAGGAAGCTTTTAGAGAGCTCCTGGGGGCTGGGGAGCGCAGAAACGAGCCGAAATTGGGCCCTGCTTGCTCAATTTTTGCCCTCCCATCCCCCAGGAGCACTCTATAAGCTTCCTAATGCCCTTTTTTGACAAAAAAGGGCCCGTTTTCACAAAAAAGGGCCAAATTTTTTGCTCGTTTTTGCCCCACCCCACCCCCTCTCCAGGAACACTCTACAAGCCTCCTAAGAGCTATTCATGCTCTTTTGCAGGGAAAGAAACGGGCCCGTTTTCACAAAAAACGGGCCGCTTTGGGGAGGTTTGCAGAGTGCAAAACCTTTTTTTTTTCAATTTGCCTCTTCAAAACCTTGGTGCGTCTTATACTCTGAAAAATACAGTAGATGACAGATAGATAGACAGACTGACAAAGGATGATAGATAGGTGACAGACAGAAAATTAGATGTGTAGATTGATTAGTTGGTTGATTGATTGAAGATAAGAGACAGATGGACGGACAGATGGCTGGATGGATGATAGCAATTGTATATACCACTATACAGTGCTTTGCAGGCCTCTCTTAAGCGGCTTACCGAGTCAGCCTCTTGCCTCAGGCAGAAGGCTGAGTCATCCTTGAGCCAGTGAAAATCGAACCCCTGGCAGTCGGCAGAATTAGCCTGCAATACTGTTATTTCTAACCACTGCGCCACCAGAGCTTCTAAGTACCTTTTCAAAGTCGGTCGTCATTTTGAACGGTCACTAAGGGGCCAGCCGTAAGTCGAGGAACTACCTGTACTTCTACTGTGAACTATGCGGTGTTGTCTTCTTTCTCTTCCAGCTGAACTGGCCACCTCCGTAGACGGCTTCGGATTTGGCCCGGTGAGGCGGAAGAAGAGCTATTTTCTGCGCCTGGGGTCCTTGTCCTGCAAACTTCACCGCCGTGTCTTCCCGCATTTCCTGGCTAAGTTGAAAGATGCCAGGGAGGGCACCCAGGATGCAATGGGCCAGCTCCACCAAACTTTAGTCCTGGTAAGCGAAAACCTTCTTCAAGCAGCTTTTTTCCAGAGGTTGTGGGTGCCTCCATCACTGGATGTTCTGAAGAAAGAGACTGGACGGCCATTTGTCTGAAATGATATAGGGCCTCCTGCTTGAGCAGGGGGCTGGACTAGATGACCTCCAAGGTCCCTTCCAGCTCTGTTATTCTACAATCCCAGATCAGTGGGAAAGCTTGCCTCCAGAATTTGTGGTTGCCCCATCACTGGAGGTTTTTAAGAAGAGACTGGATGGTTGTGATGTCACATGGTAGGGACCACACATTCTGAACTCCCATTGGCCGTCTTGCCGTGATGTCACAGGGCAGGTATTACACATTCTTAATTCCCATTCGCTCATTTGTTGTGATGTCACAGGGCAGCTATGATACATTTTTAATTCCCATTGGCTGATGTGATGTCACAG